CGCTTGGCCCGAGCGGTCACCGAACATCCTGCTGTTTCATTCTCTCTTCCCCCGCTTTCCCTAGATTCCCTAAATTGGCCTAGCCATGACTATTTCTCCAGCATGCCCGCCTCCGAGACGTAAGTAGGGAGACAGGGAAGCGAGGGTAGCGAGGCGCTAAGCGCTAGTAGTGCTAGAGGATTAAAGGTCAGCCCTGTGCCATACGTTTCCGTACGCATAGCTAGATAGATACCTGCGTTATTTATTTTTTTAACCAAATATGTTTTAGACTAGTATGTATTTTTCTATGCTGTTTGCAGAATACATTTTAAAATGTATTTATATACAGTAATGTAGTTACTGCCAAACAAAACTGCATTTTTTTTGCTTTTTTTTTCTTCCCTCAAGAAGAAGTATGCCTTCCAGCCTGATCCTAAAAAGCCCGAGGGCTTAACATTGTTAGAAATCTTTATAGATCTTCTTGGAATTTCCTTAATTATCAGGTGTAGGAGAGTTTTGAAATAGCACCTCGAAAGAAAGAGATGGTGTAATAATTCTGACAACGTTCATACACTCTTCTTTTTTCATTCTGGGAATTAATTTTCTTCTTTCTACCAGAAGAATCAATCCTTTTTGCAGCCCTTGAGTAACAAATGTAATTCAACCTTTTTTCTTTTTTAGTAGTATGTGAAAAGAGGGATAAAATAAAGCCAAGGTCAGGATGAATCTCCCATGTGAATTAATCTTTAAAATGATACTAGCTTCTTGTCATTATATATTACCTATATTTTAAGTACTTCTAGTTAGTAGGTTTTAAGTGAAAGACAATTCAAAATAGGGTTGAAGAAATTTAGCTATGATTGTAACCTAGTTGACCTACCAACAGAGGAGGAAACAGGAAAACATATTTGCCCTGTTTTAATTTATTTTTTTTTTAGTTTTAATTTAGTGGGCTTTTCTGATGATGGCATTGGCTTATCACACACCTAACAAAGCCAAAATAAACTATTAATTAACTTAACTCTTCATTACACCATAGTGTAGGACTAGAACAGCAGCGTGAAAGTCAGGCCCCGTTTTAACTCTGTTTATCACAAAACTTGCATTTGTCTGTAGGCTGGAATGTCTGACAAACATTTCTTGGTTTCCTTGCAATGGGAAGGGTGCATAACTAGGCCAGATGAAACAGCACTATCCTTTTACTCTGGTAATCCTTTAAATTTAGACACAGGGTGAGTTTGCTGTCTTGCCAGGGCGTCATTGCTCTGCATAAGTCTTTTGTTTTCAGGTGTTTAGTCAAATTGGAAGCAACATTTAAAAATGAAAGTAAAAGGCTCACTTATTTTAACTCTTAAAATATGTCACTGCTAACAGCTATTACGAAACCGTACAACTAGAAACTAGAAGGCTTATGAAACTAAGAAAGTTTTTTTTTTTTTCTTTTTTTCAAAACTCTTAAAAGATAGTGCCTCTGTAAGAGAGACTTTTGCTGTTGAAATCGTAGCAAAACGGTTAGTGAACAGTTCCAGGAGAGTATCTGCCCAGGGAGGAGCATTGCATAGGCTGGGTGAGAGCCTAGGCCAGTGCCCAGCAGGCCAGGGAGGCTGGTTGGTGGTAACCAGTCTTGAAAGGCAGGTTCCTTAGCAGTGAGATTGCCCGAGGCTCTCTGTGTGCAGAAGAGTCGCCTTAAATGTCCCTTTCTCACTGACCTGCTGCTCCTACTGCTTTAAACTAAGGGAAATATTTAATTCCTTACTGCTTTGAATGAACAAAATCTTTAATTCCTACATAGAGCAAATACCTAACAGATTGTAGTGTTTAGAGTTACCAGCTAGTTTCATCAGCCTCGTTTCTGCTTCGAGTGTGAAGTCACAGCAATGAAGAGTATGTGCTCTTCAGTAAGGCTTGCACTCTTTCGCTTGTCCTCTTCCCCTTCTCCCGCTTTGAGGGACCAAACAGTACCAAATCTGGTGAAACCAGTGATGGCTTTCTTCTAAAATGTGTGCAGGTCTCAGTTACTGGAAGCTGGCAGATGTCACAGTGCTACTGACTGTGGAAGATCTTACTCTTCTCATGGTAGTTGTGTAAGATACCTGTAAAGCTTCATCAAGTCATAGTTTGAGCAATTTAGTTAATGGCCGCTTTGAGGGACCAAACAGTACCAAATCTGGTGAAACCAGTGATGGCTTTCTTCTAAAATGTGTGCAGGTCTCAGTTACTGGAAGCTGGCAGATGTCACAGTGCTACTGACTGTGGAAGATCTTACTCTTCTCATGGTAGTTGTGTAAGATACCTGTAAAGCTTCATCAAGTCATAGTTTGAGCAATTTAGTTAATGGCTTCAGAAGTTCCTTTTTTTTTTTTTTTTTTTTTTTT